CCATGCCTGGACTGCCGGGGGCGCGCGGAGAGCGGACTCTCCGGTTCAGGAATGGACTGGATGTCCAGCGTCCCGTCCACACTTAAATGAACATTGCAGGAGAAATCTCACCACACATATCAATCGGCACAAACATGCGCGCAGTATCGCCGCAAATGCAAACATAAGGCCTGCCATAAGAAAACTGGAGGTTCAGTTCAGCATTCGCCGCCGGGTTTCTTTGCTTTCCCGCACCACACGGGCAGATACGTGAGTCATGTACATGGGAGCCGTTCGACGCCACATCCCCGAGTAACTGAAGGTCAGAGCAGCGTACCCTCATACACAGTACGGCAGCGCTTGGAGCGCTCGTCTTTCCAATGCCAGCAGTGTCAGCCCACTCAACCTACAACATGGTCCGTTACCCGTCTGCCTGCCATCAGGCCAACACCCGGCTCCGCAGTTGACGCATTGGCCGCCACGGAGGCGCGCGCGGCCGTTACAGCCGATTACCTGGCCGTGAGACGGTACGGGGAGGGGGGGGGGGGGGAGGGAGCGCCGGCTGGCCGCCCGGCAGACGGGCGGAAACAAGGGTCGGTCCGATCGCAAGGTCAGACCACCCCTCCAAGGGCCTGAAGAGCGCACGCACCGGAGCCACTGTGTGACGCCAGCGCCACGGCAGCCAACGTCGGCACCAGCACATCACAGATACACTACTAAACGCACCCACAAAAGGCAGAACTCAGCCCCGAGGACAGTCTTCATGAGATATTATTCAGTTGCATGAATTAGCCTGGAATGAACAGTTCTGTCTGCAATTTGACGACTTTTTCAATAATTTAACATTGTGCTGACATAACGGAATTGAGTGCGGCCATTTGTTCTCTATCACCTATGAACAGATAGCCTCTTGGTACGGCGGCGCATTGCTACGTTTGATCTATTTCGCATCCTCGTTCGATTAACCTGGTAAACGTAAAATTTGAAAATTGCCAAAATTGAAAGCACGCCTCCGAAACTCCGGAACGAACATCTCGCCACACGAACACACACACGAACATCTCGCATCACGAACACACACACGAACATCTCGCATCCTGATGTCACGGCGAGATGGAAGTAACTGATATTCACAGGGAAGAGCACCCGCAATCTTGCTGCTGAAAGCACGGACCAATATATGCAGTCTTATTTGCAATCGTGCACAAAATCACAGATCCCCCTTTCTGTGATTCCGCCCGCGAATTTACCGTTCACAGATTACTAGCAAGCCGATGTTTCACATATAAGTGATCCGGTGGTAGCCCGGGGAGTCACCAGCATTACATTTTGCCAAACAAGCCTTAAACACGTCACGCTGCTGCCCAAACTGAGAAAGACCGGGCCATGAACACCACTTGGCGCGCAGCTCAGCTTATTTTGAACAACATTCATCAGTAAAAATTCATGTTTTCTAATGGCTTCGTAAAGCTAAATTCACCACCGCAAAAAACCGAAGGTCATCAACGCCGTCAATGAAAATCGCCAGTGCCCTGGCAGGACTAAAACCGGCCAATATTCCAGCCACGGATATCGAGTGCGCGGATGCTTAACATCAGAACACCACTTCTGCTTAAGTCATTAAAGTATAATATTCCAGAATCATGGATCAGAATAAGTGGCATCCATACAATATGCATTTAGTTATGCTGTGTATTCAGTGGTGTATATCACACACACACGCACGACATACGGCGCACACACACACGCACACCACACACACACAACACACACACACGCCACGCACGCCTCACGCACCAGCACGCACGCACGCACGCCACTCACGCAACGCACGCACGCACGCAAGACGCACGCACGGCACGCACGCAGCACACGCACGCCACGCACATGCACTAAGTAGTATATATATATTATATATATATATATATATATATATATATATATATATATATATATGTATAATATATATATACTTAGTGCTTTATATACTAGATAATTATAATATAAATATACTATATCATATATATATATATATATATATATATATATATATATACAAATTATGAAGGGGGTATCAAAAAGTGCGGCTGGGGCCAAGCTTCCCAGCATCTCAGAACGCTGCATTCAACAATGGTCTTTGGGTCGGAAAGCCAAACTAGGGAGGGGTATCAAAAAGTGCAGCTGAGGCCAAGCATAATGTTTAAAATGCACACACACAAAAAGAAGAAAGACAACATGGGCTGCAGATGAATCTGAATAAACAGATGCTCAGTTACTGGAAGTGTGTGAGGGCTGCAAACTTGGTCAAGTACCAGCCTGCCTGCTGGTGCTGCTCAGACCCTACTGGCACTGGCAGCCAGCAGCTGGACACAGGGCTGACAGACTTTTGTTGCCTGCCAGGCCGACCAGCGCCCACCCACCCAGTATGTGGGAGGGAAGAAGGGATCACCCATAATGCATGAATCTTCCCCACAGGAGCTCACCTTCTGGGTGAAGTGCTTTCACAGGATGACAATTGCTACTAAAGACACCACATCTTCTAGACTGGTTCCCACAAAACATACTGTAGTGCTGCACTATAAAGTGGGACAACAGACATGGAGTCTAAGGAAGGGAGCCATCAAGAATCCCCCCTCTCCCCAACAATGGAACTTAATACATGTGTGTAGGTGTGCATGGCGCACAACATGCACTGCAAGCACATTGGTATCTATTACTGTTAACATTCCATACAAATGCACACATTGCATATATTGACATTTGAATGTACACATAGGCATATAGATATCAAACAAAAACAAAGGTTAAACATCATTATAGGCTAATGTAAGGGTGGATCCAGAATGATGCTTTGGGAGCAATTGAGACTTGGGCATTTATAGCCATCAATAGTGCTCCAATCAGAAAATTATCCAATTTTGCTTCCTTAAATTGCCAGAAATGCTTGAAAAGCAGCTTTTTTAATAAGACTCGCTCACATTTTCTATAAGTCCCAAAACATGTCATTTTTTGCTTGACTTGGCCATCACAGGAAGACCTATGACCTGGTTGCATTCTCTGGACCATAACCTTTACTCTCCCTGGGCTGAAGCCCATCCATAACTTTAAAATAAATATACAAATAGATGCAGGTGTCAGTGCACCCTCTGTGCCATTATCAAGCATGACATTTTGACAAGCACTTTTAACTTTCATTATGCATTCATAAAATTAGTTTTGAATAACCAAATGGGGGGGGGGGGTTGGAAAGACCATATGATCAAAATTGACAGGGCAAGCAGCCTTGTAACTGCTTTTGACCATAAGAAAGTTTAAAAAATGTCAACAAACTTAGACTGTCTGTCAAAGTTGTCTAAGATTTGGCCCCTTTCTTCTCAAAATTTGTGACCGAAGCACAGTATGAGGGTTCCCCCGGAATAAAAAGCAAACTTCACCTCTGGTTTGTTAGCTTAAAGATATCCCAAATAAAATTTTCCAACCAACACCAAAATTTGCAACCTGTGCAACGCAAACTTAAACCACTTTCACGTCCATATCGTCCAGGGGATAAGTGTCCATCCCCAGTAGCCACAAATACCACTCGTGCATGTCGTTCACGCAGTGCCAATTCTAGTAACCAATCTCTGATCAAAGTGTAAAGGCAACAGGGCAAAGGCATCATCAAAACAACCAGAACATCGACCGCCTGACGACGCATATGCCCACTCACCTGGCACATGATCGTCGTAGTAGTTCAGCCAATGACAGACACACGTTGCATGAGCATGGATCTCGAGAACTCCGTCAGTAATTCCCACACCTACCCAACGTAACCACACTACCGCGTACAGCTCTACCTGACCTCCAACAAGGCATCCATCTTGAATTCGAGGCGGTCCACACGAGTCACGTGACCTATTCCTAAAATACTGCAATATTTCCAACAGATGGTAAGCAAGGTGATTTGTCGCTATACCATATGCACTACATAAGGCCTCTCGCAGCTACATACGAACAATTTCTAAGTGTGGATGCGTGATCAACAAAATCGCTGAAAACTTTAAGCGCACCGCTGCCGCGAGTTATTTCTTCCTTGTCATAAACGAACATCGCATGTTGCCATCTTATGTTTACGTGTCTACCTGAATTTGTTTGCCGTCATCTTTCGCCTGAAATTACCTGGAATTTGTTGATCAATCGTCATCACCTGAACTTTCTGACTTGAATGGCAAGGCATAACCTTGCATGAAACGAAAGTGAGGCACGTAATCAAGCTGCAGTCTCAAAATGGACCAGCTTGCTGGCTTTATCGGCAGGATTGAGATGCCACGAATGGGATTTAAGGCTTTGACTTAACACGTAATTTGATGGGTTCTTCAGCGTAAAACTCTTTAGTTTTTACGGCTCTGAAGAAGTGTCAGCTTGTGAATGGATTTACTGGGAACGGAGGGTTCCTACGCATCATAACAAAGGACTTTATGTGACCCAGGCACTCTGGGGCTTTGCCGGAGCTTCCTGCAGATCACATCTTTGACGCCACCCAAGGCCGTGGTAGTCGTTATACGTCTCAAGAAGGGCTGTCGCTTAAGGAGCGTAACTGATATTACGATTTGTATATAGCATGTTGCCAAGGATCTTTTGAGCTGCAGCAGCCTCCTCAAATTATAATGTATCTTTTTGGTGTTCCAAGCACAGAAGTTTTCGATGCTCCTGAATGATCCAGGATCAGCAGTGACATGTTTCACTACATTCTTCAGGATTTGGGATTCACGTTTGGATGTACACAGAAATCTGGTTTCTTCCTGTGCGTTGTATGCATTGACGTGCGCTATTTTACGGGACCTGGCCGGACTGAAAGTGATTTCACGAGCCCTGGTCAGGTCGGAATGCATGATGTTTGTGCTAGCTATTGCTCTGTTCTTGAAAATGCAGCTCAGGTCGGCTGCAGTGATTCGTGTCTAGTATGTGTGCTCCAAGATCAGGTACGCATGTCAAAATGCACCAGGCGTGTGGTACATTACACAAGTAATAACACATCTAGATTGATGCCGATTTTTCGTGCTTCTTTCGGTATTTATTTCATATACCAACCCTAAATAACCGACGCCCTTCTACGCACTGTTGACAAGAGCACTTGGTAATTCACGTATTTACCGGTTGCTCCTGTAATAAAGCACAATTTAAAAGTTGCTATTCTTCACCTTTCTTCGTTTTATTTTTCTTTCGCCTTTTCTTTCTTTCAGAGGCTTCACCAGCAGAGGCTGTGGGCACGGCGTCCTCTGACGTGACCGCATTACTGATCTTTCGTCTCTTCGATGATTTATCTCCATCAGTTTCGAATCGTGTTTCGATACAAACGCTCTCTGCTACCACTTGCTCTCCGTGCTCACCTACCTGAGCATCCTCATTTTTTCTTTTCTTCTTTTTTCGCTTCTCGGCGGGCGCCTCTTCACCGTTTCCATCACCAGATGAAGTGTTCACATCAGCTGATGTATGCCGTTTCTTTTTCTTCTTTAACTTTCTTTCCAGGCTTTCTCCCTCGTTCAACTCTTCATCGACACAATCCGCTATTGCATTCTCCAACACTGCACCGTCTTCCTTGTTTTCTGATTGCATTTCGTCGCCATATTCCCGTTGCCGCTTGAGCCTCATTATTTTCATTTTTCTCATTTTCTCGGCGAAGTAATCCTGCCGAAGAGTAAGCTTCACTCAGCACGATTACGGAAACGCAGACATGTTTTAAGAAAACAATCCATTCAGCACAAAGCAATTGCGGTTGCAGACACATTGCACCTCATCTTCCCTGCAGTTCGGGCCAGACATATCAACAAGCGCACAGAAAACAAAATCCCCGATTATCCCACCGTACACAACTCCATCCCGATGTCGGAAGCCACCTAACAACACTCACCTTGACCGACTTGCCGGTGACGATAGTGGTGTAGCCGGAGGACGAGTCCACCTCGGTGACGGGGGCGTCAGGCTCGGCGTCCGATACCGGCTCGCTGCCGGCGTGCGGCGGTGGCGATGGCGGCCGCGAGCTGACCGGCGTCACCGGCTGCGAGGCCGCCTCCCCCGACCGGCCGCCCAGGATGCACGCCAGATCCTGGCTCGAATACCGGCTCAGGTCCTTGCCGCGCGTGAACTTGTGATAGCTGCGATCGGAAAACGCGATGGTGGTCACCAGAGACGCCGGAATCGACACAAAAGATCGTGGCGGGGCGGGGGCAGGTCTTCAACTATTGCTTATCCACCAACGCGAGTAGATTCAGGCTAAAGCTTGGGCTATTTCATGTCGCAGGAATAATTCCCAGAAAATTCAAGGGGTAAAAGTCGGTCCTCTTTCTCTCTCTCCCCATGATCACCCGCGGACCCACGGAAGGGGCTACGATCTTTTCACTAGGACTTCGTTGGAGCCCCTTAGAATGGGATAAATTGATGGTGACGCAACAAACAACATGCAGCCTAGCTGTTTGCATCTTCCAGCACATTCATCCTTGTAACTTCAAGCAGCCGCGACAAATATAAAAAAGGAGTCACAATAAGGTAGGAGTCACAACAAGTTGGGAGTAACAACAAGGTAAGAGTCACAGCAAGGTAGAAGTCACAAGGTAGGCGTTACAGCAATGTAAGAGTTACAAGGTTGATGGTCGGAGTCACGATAAAATACGTGTCGCAACATTGTAGGAATCATAACGAGGTAGGATGCACAGGGTAGGAGTTACAAAACAATGTAGAATTCACTACAAAGGTTTCAAGACCCGCTCAACGCAGGGCTCAGATGGCTAAAGGGAGCATACCATCTTTTTGTACTTTTCACTTATTGTTGGATCAAACACGTCCGATTTAATCGGTAACATCAGTTTTCTCAAAATCCTTCTGAGCAGCCCAGAATTTATATTTCAAGTGGTCGCAACCGCATGAAAAATATCGCTGGACTCCCTACCCACCCTCAAGAAACGCACTTCATTTGCCCTGCTCTTTCCAACGTCTGTTCTGTAATGTTTGCAACAAATCAATGTATCAAAAATGTGCGCGATAACCGATACGAAAGCTCGATACATTTCTTTACATAAAACGATATGCAGATATGAGGTTATCATCCAGCCGATTTAACGGAACGTTTGCCTATGACTTTGATTTCTCCCCCATGGCGTTTAGCACAGTAGCACTTCTCGAAGCGCACGAAGGCTTTGAGAAATGCGGTATGACATGGTCTACAGTGACGCACTAACTCAAACTTAAACCAATGCGCTTCCAGGTAACTGGTCCCTGCGACCTGCCGTGCCAATCGCAAACGCTCCTTTATACTGACATCATTCATAAAAGTAGAGGTGCCACTTTTAAGCCCCCATGCCCGCAATTTGAGTTAAAACAGCTCAAAAGTGGCATCTCACAAAAGTGGTATCTCATAAATCTCGTCACAAATGGCAACGGCTCCCAGCAGATTCTGCCATCGTCATGACGACGGCGCTCTAGACACCTGTAGTATTCGCGGACTGGAGACACATTGGGCCTACCAAAAAAGGAAGAAAAGTAGTGTTGTTACAATTTTGACAGCGTAATTTAGACCAGAAAATAATTAAAACTTATATCTTTATTCTACCATAATGGTGTGGCAGGGACACTACCCGATGATATTAGCATACGTAAAATGATCCCGCGAATTCACCAGGGTTTTTGAAATATGCCCCAAAGGTGGGAAGCTCTCTCAAAATGTCCCTGCACCGGATGCGCCCCGTCCTCCTTGAACTTCTCCAGCCTCACATATGGCGAAAAGCGAAACAAATACAATTTGTACGTCCCAACGGAGGAATATGATCGTACCGTGCGCCTAAGCTTGCACTGGTCGCCGTATTTTGAAGCCCGCGCTTGTCGAAGCTCTGAGGGTTTCAGCGGACCAACTCTTGGAATGTATTATAGCCGAGTAGGCGGAAAATGGTGGACTGAAAGGTTTACTGACGGGCAAGCGACGTCAACTTATGAACCACGTCAAAGTGAATCCCGACATCGCAGATGTATCAAATCTATCCGAGTTGTAAATATTAAGAATATAAAACACGCGCCATCTTAAGGGATGTTATGGATGCAAATTCCTCTAAAATTGCAGAAATTGTACACGCATATTTGTCCAGCTCTCCCAGATGAAAGCAAATGAAATAATGGTCGAATGATACGAAAATACACTTATGAGGTCGCCTTTCTCCCATGCCGCGGGTTTTCATTTAACCGTAACACAAATCGATAGACGTATGGCATAGTAAGTGGTGACATCTAACAGCTGAGAACCTCTCTGAAGAAAGACGACCTTTGAGAAGAGACTACCTTACAAAACCACCAGAAAAGACAAGCCGATAACACCAAAAACGAATATCAACAATAAGAAGTTAATGGACTGGCTCGGCCCATTACAGTATGCCTTGCTTCATGATAACCAGAATAACTATAAACGTACTGCACACGAGCTTTGGACTTCCTTGATCTCTCTTCCAAGGACTTTGTCTGAACTTTGCTGTCATCCCTGTCCTGGCTCTTCTGATCCTGCTGCAGGCTGGCCAGCAGGTCGTTGAAGTCGTCCAGATGGGCCACCCACTCATCACTCTTTCCTTCAAATCCCAAGCCTGCGAACAGATTTCAGACAACCTTACTACTTGTTACCGTGTCTCCATCACATTTTGACGCAGAACACGACGGGCAAATAAAAGGTTTTGGATGGCAAGTGGTGTAGCGATGAATCGCAACTTATTCACGCCGTGGTGCTCGTCGGAAACCCATGGCTACCTCGCTCATCTCCTTTGCACACAAAAAAGTGTAAACAAAAGCAAAGCAAAAAGGTGGCAGACATCAGTAATGAACAACATCACTTATTCACCTCATATGCCCAAAAAACTGTCGAGCATATTTGCTCCTTTTGAATTTTGATACTCACCATAAGCAACATTACAGTAAGGAGCACAATACATGTGTGGGGGCAACACCATTCGCACTGACCTCGAGAATCGTTCTGTACAGAGGGCCGGATATGTTCTGTTATGCCCTTCATCTCCTTGCCGAGACCCTTGCCTTTGCTCCATCCCATCTGTTCCAACATCTTCTGGCCAAATTTGCTGTCATCTAGGAATAAGGTGTGCTCGATTACAGGGGACGATACGCCATGTACGCTAACTACGGAACGCAATAACAAAATCAGTGCAGGGTAACACACCAAAAAGTGGTGGACTGTACACACACAAACACATCAAACATCGAGTCTAAACATACAACAACTGGAGAAATTGGATACATCATAACATCGTTCACTCTTATGTAGAAAGTTGATGCCTCCTCTTCTTTATTTACTCAGCCTCATTAATTTCGCCAGTCATTTGCCTCTTACGCTGCAATATGTACCAAATGTTCCAAATTCAACCCAGTTTCTGTTCATGGCAGGCATCACAAGCAGTGCCGTCATTGGAGTGCAGTACTTACATCATCACTTTTGGTTGTTTGGATTAGAGCCCTTTTCACCAGAAATTATCATTTTAGGGCTATGGGATGAAGGCAAATGGACGATGATTGGGCAGGTTTGCATGCGGCTGGCGGACCAACCACCAAACTTCAACTCGCGCATCTACGCCACCGCCTTACGACGCAGTACACGGCAGCAGATTTCCCAAGCAAAATGAGTGGGTGTAGGGGAGAGCAAGGAGGTTGATGCAGCAGTGAACCAATGCTGGTTTCATTGATGGGACACTTGCTCGTCTTATAGTTGTTGGCCTATTGTCAGCCACGTTTTTTATGCTAAGTGCACAAATATTACAGACAGGCAGAGGAGGCCAGAGGGATGGTTTTGCAAACTGCCAGGAAGATTATGGCCGAGATCTGAATCCAACCAGCTTTAAATGGTGTGTTTTCTGCTACAGTGCCTTAGCATCCAGGCCAAACACATGTGCTGCAGAGGCAGGTGTATCAATCTACAGAGGCAATAGCAGGTATATGAACTTCAGAAGAGGTGACATGTAATAATTCACTGACCTCCCAAGTACATGGTGACAAGAGCAATTTGTCACCAATTTCACACATTCTAAGCACACCAATGATTTGGGGTGCACTCAAGATGCAGAGAAAAGTACCTCAATTTGTGGAAGAAAAGGAAGCCAGGTTATCTGCTTTCTGACACAACTTGAATGACATTACATATTTTATATTCCCATCTTACAGAAGCTGTGTCAATCTATGAACCCAAAATGTCTTTCTTTGTTTTCTCTGAAAGAAGCTTTTCTTTGACCTCACCACTATCCATAGATCACAATTTTAAGTCATGCATGGGACACTCATTCACTTTGCACAACCAAGAAAAATGTATCCACCCTGCACTGATTGAAGTTATATAGACCATGGTGATGCACACCCAAACTAATTCCTAGCAGTTCAAACAGAGACTAACATGTGAAAAAAGATTACCTTCAGCCCATTGACTTCCTCTTGGATTCAAAACCCAAGACTTCTTGCGGCGTTGTTCTGCTAACATCGCCATGCTTGGAATGTATTAGCTTCTAATGTATTGATTTATCTGAAAAAGGGCAAAGATTATACACTTGAATATCATGTTTTTGAGTGCATACCCAGTATATACTAAACATATAATGCATGTATATCTATATAGCTAATTAACACATTGCCTGTAAATGTTGCACAGGTAATGTATCACTTACTATCCATGTGAAAAAGCCAAAGGTCATGCACAAGTATTATATTGTGTAGATAAGGTATGAATAACTTTCCATCCTTATTTGTATCCACCACTGATGATACATTGGATACACATTTTAAATAATACAGGAAGCTACCTTTACAAAAATGCTACACTTTTACCCAGATTACCTTACAGCCCCATAGATTCAAAAACAAATTACATAATTGTAAATATAAAGACTCATCAGGAGTGCATGTTGACATGGTCTAAAGGAAAAAATATTGGTGTGCACCAGAAGCAAACATTGAGTTTTATGACACTGCACACCTCTGACATACAGCAAAACAATAATTATCTTATACTAAGTGATAATGTCACAAGGCCAGAACTTAACTCAAACACTGGAGGTGAGAAGGTATTGGCAGCACCTAATTATTATGTGAATAATGCTCCCTCCATACTCAGGCAGTAACCAAACATGATATATGCACATCACACCTAACACTGTCATATAATTTGATACACACCATTATAAAGAACAACATGCACACCCAATATCCCTGGCTCAAAGTCCCAGCATTAAACAACTTGATGCAGAAAATAAGCTGCCTAGCTTCTGCAATGATGAAAAACAGCCTATGCACTTCTTACTAGGTCTTTGATTAGTGGTTATGACCATGGCCATATCAGCCTCTCTTTACAAAATTCAGTGCTTTGATAGAAAATTATATTATCATCATCCCATATCATCCCCAAAAATTATATTATCATCAACAAATAAACAAAACTCAATCTAACACTACTGCCCACTATCAGTAGCTCATTTGTCAGCATATGACAAGGCTCCCTCAGCTGTCACTGTCCACCTGCTTAGTCCAGAATAATTAAGGCAATGTTGGAGTGCAAAATGAGAGCAAAAACCAACGAATCGCAATGCAACATTGAATGGCAAAAAAATTAAATAAAGGTTGCAATGAAGATTGCCCCCGCCAATGCAAAATTCGCTAGACCGGATTCACACAAACGCTTGTGCGTGCAAAGCGATCGGTCCTATCGTGCATGAGTCTGTACACATACACAGATCTATAGAATCCCATGTCATTGGGGCTTTACGACACACTCAGCTGCTGAGGCTATATGGCGCCGGCTGCCTCTCACCCTGGCGGGAAGGGTGGACACCGCGGCGCTATAAAATCCCTAAATACGCTAAATACACGCACCCACCACGTGAACCAACCCACCACTTTCACGCCAAACACCAAGGCATGCGGCAATTCATTTCAATACCTTATTCGGCGCATGTGTTTCGTTTTCAGCATGTTGTCATAGCACGCAAATTTGAATTTATTTTTGTTTGACAAGTGTCACATACAGTCTAGGTCTGATTTGAAACTTTCTCAGTATAAGTTATTCAATTAAATATCGACATGAATACCACATCATTCCTCCATTACTGCAGCATCAGTAGAACACAAATTTTGAGTGAACTGTTTCGGCCAATCAGATCAGCGCGCTAGCGGCCGTTTTGAAAGTATTGCGGCGGAAATCGCTTTGCTTCATACGTGAAAAAGATAACGCCGCGTTGTCCGCTCGCGTCCTGTTGGAAAGCCAGCGGTTTGTGCCGATTTATTCTTTCAGCATAACTGGACGTTTTACATCATATTTGCTGCATTGCTTGAACGTATCTTTTTAGGGAGCGGGGCAACAGGTTTCTTTTATACAGGTCCCACCAACCAGCAGGGAAAATATGTCTTCACGTCCAAGAGTTGACACGACGAAGGAGATTGCTCAAGTTATCGTTGACCCGAAGACAAGAAAGCGATACCAGCGTGGTAAATTCCTCGGAAAGGTTTGTGTGTTTTTTCATTCCACAGCTTAAGACACGTGCTGTAGTCGTACTTGTGCGGTGACCTTTTTTGTGTGTAGTGTGGTGTAGTGTAGTTTTGCATAAGGTTGGTTGGATGCACAGGGAAAATGGGTGACCTGCCACACATAATACAGAAATAGGATTCACAGTGATTGACCCATTTCTCGCTCAAAGAAAGGGGTGGAGCCCTAAACTGAAAAGGAAACTAAGCTGGTATTCTGTGTGTGGGTAGTGTAAGCAACTGGTACAAATTTGACTGTATGGATATGTGCTGACCTCCCTCCATTGGTTTTGAATACACCATTTTCAGGCAAATCTATGTCTCATTTTTATCAAGCCCATCCTTTCTCATAATTGATTTATGGCTTGCTCCTTTGTGGCATCCTGGAAGAGGGGAGTTGTATTGTGCCAGTATCCATTTATTTTGCATGTTTTTTAGGTTTGGCTACATGGTCAGATAAGGCAAAGTGCCAGTGAATATTTTGCTTGACAACAAGTACTCCATTGTTGAACATGTGGGCAATGTCTCCACCTGATTGTTATTGACTTTTTGTAATCCAATAGAATAAACATTAGTTTCTTCTCATGGATCCTTGCATGCTTGCCACAAGCATAAGCTTTATTATATAGCTGCTGATGCTCAGTGCTTTGGGTTATGTAACCATGATTCCACATAATAGAAACAGGCATTGGAAAAATGAGGTTCATGCCAAAAATGTACTCCTACTGCAATGGGTGTTGTGACTGTATCTTGTGATAGTGCATGGAATTCATAGGCAGAGTTATGGTTAAGATGATCTGTTATGTTTTAATGCAGCTTCCAGCATATGCCACCCCTGTAAGTAGTCTTATATATTTGTCCAACATTGGAAGGCTTGGATAAATTTGCAGTGCACTTGTGGCTTGACTTTCTATTTTCAGTGTTAAACATAAACTTCTATGTATTATTACTTCTTAAATGCACTGCTGTGATAATGTAGTATGTGGTTTTCAAAGTCAATTCTGGTCTATCATGACATGCACTGGGCTGAAATTGCCATGTTTCTGACAAAAACCATTGTGTGTATATATAATATATATATATATATATTTATTTATTTGTATGTATGTATATATATATATATATATATATATATATATGTATATATATATATATATATATATATATATCATGGTATCTTAGATAGAATCCCATAAATGCAGGATAGTAAATCTAGGTAGAGGCTCATGAACCTTAAGTGAAGTAAGACTCAACAGGCTCCTCATGCAGAAATTTGTGGAACTAAGTTGGGATGCTTTTTACAATACCTTCATTTTGTTTTCCAATCCATTGTGACATATTTGCCTACTCAACTTTTAACACCAATACTGATTTTGTCAGTTGTATACCAGGTATAATGTATGAACATTCCTGGCCTGAAGATTTCTTTTCATACTTATCCTCAGCTAATTTCCTTCAGAAAAATGATATCCCATGAATGTTTGGGTGGCCTAAAAACATGTTATAGAAGTGTTTGTTTTCAAACACTATCAAGGTAGCTAGGTGTAATATCACCTGCCCAAGGTTCCTTATAGGTTTGATCTGTGATGTTTTTTTCAAAAGTATATGATGGACAAATAAGCCATTTGTGAGTCATATCTTGGCCTTTTTAAACTGAATATTAAGGTTGCAAATTGTAAGATGTACAGTAGCTAGGTGCAGAGGCAGAAACTGTAATATTGACACCTGAAAGGGATTTATTCCCCATGTATGCATAACACAAGTTGTATATTCCTCATTATGTTAATTATAGCACTATCAGATCATTTCAGGTACTTGCCAACCCAGGTCAGTCAGTTGATCATGTATCGTGTCATCATTTTTAACCCTTTAAGATAAGATCAATTTTGGAGATCCTTCCAGTATTGCTTCACAAATATTGGATGATGAGTTGGGAGTCAATTATCACCCTGACTTATGGTCTTGTTTTCATTGTTTTGTAGTTCATGTTAAGGTACAAGCTGGAAAACAATCTTGTTTCTTCACAGTGAAGCTTTCACACACTGCTCTTGGTTAGTGTAATAAATGAATATTTTGGAAGTGTTATTATTCATAGGTCAAGCAATTGTATGGAGCATTGTCCCAATCAATTTGGTTATTATTGACACAAGATTTGGCAAGTCGCTCGACCTTCAGCTGTTGTCATGTGATGGTTGGTCTTGGGAGGGTTGAGGCATGTTTAATCAAACACGCGCTCGGGTGGAGAGGTCAAATTGCCACCCCCCCCCCCCCTCCCCGAAGGTTTTGTCCAGAATGGTTTTCGAACGGCGCGGCGTAGCCGCGCCAAATTTTGCATAGCTGTAGACAATTGAATAGCGGATCGTTTGGCATCAAAAATTTAGATATACCTTGTAAGGTCACTGACCTATGGCAGGTCAAAGTCAGACCATGGTTTTAGCGAATGCAATTTGTGAGAATCCTTCAATCTGGTCCAACAACGGAGTGTTAAACGAAGCCATACATCTCTGAGATGCTTTCTTAGGCAGCACAACAGTTGAATGAGCAAATAACATGACCTAAGGTCGGGTATGAAGGTCACACAAGGTCAAAACCAACCTGTTTTGTTACTCTAGGGCGTGCTGTATGGGATAGTTTCTGGTGCTCATTTCGAGTTTATTGATAGCAGGAACTGCATTATACATCTTTCATAGACTTCTTAGAGGTTAGATTATGTCATTGACCTAAAATGACCCAGGTCAACATTTTGTTTAGGAACATGCTGCCTAGCGTAATCTTTGTCGCTTAGTTAAATGCAAAACTCAAAGCAATCTTGTATTATTTTGGTCACCTTGGCCTTCAAAAGGTCAGACAAGGTTACTGACCTTGAATGAGAATATAACCTTTTGCTTATAAATGGTTATCTAGGGTCTGGGGGCACTTTGGGGACCAATCTGGAACTTGACCTTGTTTGACCTTTATTGGCCCGAAGGTCATGACCCAGGGACCTGAAACTTTAACCTGAGTGAGTTCACGTACAGATAAACACACCCTGTAAACTTGGTGTCTCTAGCTTTTTTAGTTTCCGAGATCTCAGTCGGGCCAAATTGACCCCCCACCCCCCACCCCACCGGAGCGAAGGGTATCTTGGCGGCCACCCGGGCGCGTGTTAATGCATTATGTCTGACTACCCCGAATTTTTTGGCAGCTTGAAGGCTTATGCCTAGACGTTCAAAGCTCCAAGCTGCCAGTGTTTTGCGGGTGCAATATACACATTAATAGCCCAAACACCTTCAGGTCCCCCTCAGGACCAACAAACACCTGGTAATAAAGAAGTAACCTAAATCCCCAAAATTCACCAACTACTACCTGATATCAGGGAAGCGACATATAAGCCGTTTTTGTGTACATTTAACTACAAAGTTTTGGTGATCAATATGAACAGTGTTCAGGATTGTAAGAACGAAATGTCTCATTTGCCTCATAATTAACATATACCTATATTTGTCAATGTCGTGTATGGGTGTTGTAGGGGGGAGCATGTACTTCATGTGCTGCCATTCCTCTTACCCACAGGGCGGTTTTGCGCGATGCTACGAGCTTGTGGATCCAGACACCAAAGAAGTTCTAGCTGGAAAAATAGTCTCCAAGGCGCTTCTAGTGAAGCAGCACCAAAAGGAGAAGATGACGCAAGAAATCACAATTCATAGAGAACTAAATCACAAGCACATTGTGGGATTTTCCAGCTTCTTTGAGGATGCTGATAATGTGTACATTGTGCTGGAGCTGTGCAGAAAACGGGTAAGTTAGGTTATTTGTCATATCATAAGGCTAGACATCGCATGCAGTGCGTGATAAGCAGCCGTCGAATGTATGCTTATTCGTAGCTTCTGAACAACTCGGACGAGCGTACTTAACAGCATGTAACATATGTTGATATGAGTCATCCCACAGCAGCTTCATACATAAATGCTTGTACCGTGCAGAGTCTCATGGAGCTACACAAGCGGCGGAAGGCTATCAGCGAGCCGGAGACGCGGTACTTCCTGCAGCACATTCTGCTCGGCGTCAAGTTCCTCCACGAACGAAACATTATCCACCGCGACTTGAAACTGGGCAACCTCTTCCTGAATGACGAGATGGAGGTCAAGATCGGGGACTTTGGCCTGGCCACCCGTGTCGACTTTGCCGGCGAGAGGAAGAGGTACGTCTTGGTGTGACAGCGGCGGCCCGCGTGATGTCGAGAGCCGATTTTCTGACAGCAAAGTCCATTACGTGGGCATATGACAAACGGAGCAGAGCTATCTGCGTTCTGGTTCACTTAGGATGGGGATGGTTTTGCTGAGCTCCTGAGTGCAATGCCCTTACCTCCCCGTCCCTGGTTATCGTGCACTCTAAATTTTCTTATTGTTGTGGGCGCATTGATGTCTGGTGTGAAGCATTTGCGGCATAGTGGCGCGAGCGAGCCTTGTGGTGTGCTGGTGCTAGTGGGTGCTCCGTAGCTGTTCTCATACTTTATTCACAATGTTTCGGGCGCGGATTGGAGGCCTAGTTGAGGTGCTTCGATTTCCCCCCCCCCCCCCCCGTCTGGGATTAGCGTGGGAGATTGGCGTGTGAACAACCTCGAACCTGCCATGTTGCTGAAATAAAAGTAATGTGTTGGCAGTCGGGGGAGGAGGGGGCTTTAGAGCTAATTTCCGAGAAAAAAATTCCGCGAACAAGGATGACAGTTCACAGCTTGCATAGTGCTTCATCGAATTATTCGAGGATTCCGTAGGTGTTGTTTTCACGACTGCTAAGTTGGACCTATTTTCATAAAAAGTACGAATTTACGCACTTTCATGTTCGTGGTACGAAGCCATAGACAAAGACAACGATATGTTAGACAAAGACCAGAGCAAGCCGTCTTATTCCGGCCTCGTTCTATCTGCCAACGAATTTAAATAGAGATATTAGTAAATCAGCTTGTTTCTTGCGGGCATTAAACGACGTAACTTAAAAATCAGTAAACTCGTAATGCCCCTTCATGAAACCGGACCCTGGAGAAATTTGACTACCTATGCTGTTACTTGGACGACATCTCTTGTGCATACCAACAAATGTTGCATGACCTTATCCCAGCTCCCTAAAACCCAAACATGCGATCAGTGTAGTGTGTACCGATACATTTTGTACGACAGTTTCATTCACAGCAGATACGCGCCCGCAGGTCTAATTGCGGTTTTTAAACTTGGTGTGTATTTTTCAGGACCCTGTGTGGCACACCGAACTACATTGCTCCCGAGATCCTGGCGAAGAAAGGACACAGCTTCGAAGTGGACGTGTGGTCGATCGGCTGCATCCTGTGAGTCAGAGCAGTGGGCGGCCCTGGCGTTTGGTCGATCGGCTGTATCCTCTGGGTCGGAGCAGTGGGCGGCCTTGGCGTGTGGTCGATCCGCTGTATCCTGTGAGTCGGAGCAGTGGGCGGCCCTGGCGTGTGGTCGATTGGCTGCATCATGTGAGTCAGAGCAGTGGGCGGCCTTGGCGTGTGGTCGATCGGCTGCATCCTCTGAGTCGGAGCAGTGGGCGGCCTTGGCATGTGGTCGATCGGCTGTGTCATGTGGGTCAGAGCAGTGGGCGGCCTTGGCGTGTGGTCGATCGGCTGTATCCTGTAAGTCGGAGCAGTAGGCGGCCTTGGCATGTGGTCGATCGGCTGCATCCTCTGAGTCGGAGCAGTGGGCGGCCTTGGCATGTGGTCGATCCGCTGTACCCTCTGAGTCGGAGCAGTGGGCGGCCCTGACGTGTGGTCGATTGGCTGTATCCTGTGAGTCGGAGCAGTGGGCGGCCTTGGCGTGTGGTTGATCGGCTGCATCCTGTGCGTCAGAGCAGTGGGCGGCCTTGGCGTGTGGTCGATCGGCTGTATGCTGTGAGTCGGAGCAGTAAGCGGCCTTGGCATGTGGTTCGATCGGACTGCTGTCCTGTGAGTCGGAGCAGTGGACGGCCTGGACGTGAAACTTTAAAACAAATGGTCACTGTGAGTGACGTGTTCTATAATTGGTGCTGCGAAGTGTACTCTGAGTGATGTTAACACATGGGTGGAGCAGCCAATGTCAAATGGAGTGAGCACGGTTTTAGCACCGGAAGGTACAGTTTTGCCCTGCGTCTTTGCTGGCAGCCACACCAATCTGCATCAACATTGTCGACCTGTGCATAGGTGCCAAAAGAGCTGCCTGACGCCATCTGCTGCGATGCTGAATCGTGTGAACTGCCCAGTCTGGCTTGCCCGCGTGAACCGGTCCGCTCCGTTCGGCCAGGTACACGCTGCTAGTGGGCAGGCCACCGTTCGAGACGGAGAGCCTCAAGGAGACGTACACGCGCATCAAGAAGAACGAGTACAGCATCCCGAAGACGGTCGGTCCGCTGGCCAAGAGCCTGATCCAGCGCATCCTGCAGGGCGACCCCAACCGGCGGCCGACCGTCGACCAGGTCCTCCACGACGACTTCATGACCATGGGTGAGCCGGCCGCTGGGCTGGGCGCACCGTCGATGGCGAGGGGCACAAATGGACAGAACATGGCCAAAGGCCTCCGACGTCGGCGTGCCCTTAAACTCGAATCGTCATCATGATTTGTCCACCACGGCATACCTTACTTACACTGAGGAGCAGAAGTGTGGGTGGGGAAAACGTATTCGCTTTGAGCTGTCGAGGGTGCGTGGGAGTTTTACAGGGTTTCGTTTACGATTCAGCCGACAGTTGCAGGTCGTCAATGACCGCATTGAGTGCATGCGTGACGGGTGAATCTTCCTGGTAGTCGATGTACCCGGAATCCCCAATGATTGGCGCAGAATAGCCTTAGCTGTTGACGCGCGCTTAAACTCAAATTGTCACCAATTTCCAATGACATCGACATCATCAACACTTGACTTTCCCTGCCCCAATCAGGGTTCCCAGCTGTACCAGCACTCTCCTGCCGGCGCATCCGTTGCTGTCCTCCCGCGCTCCTCGACGCCCGGCTTGTAGCCTGGTCGGGGCTTGGGTTATTACGACGCCTGTCTCCCGCGCGGAGCGCTCAGCCGCCGACGCTGCTGCTGCTGCTGCTGCTGCTGCTGCTGCTGCGGACTGTGTCTGACTCCGCCCCGCCTCGCAGGCTACATCCCGATCCGGCTGCCAACCTCGTGTCTTACCATGGCGCCCCGGTTCGACACCAAGATGAACGTCAGCATCGTGGCGCGCCGGCCGCTGCTGGAGATCAACAAAGGTGGGTTTAGGCGGTGGTGGAGCCACAAGAGGCGTCGACCCCGAGAACGGTGGGCCCGACAGCCAGCAGTGACACACTTTTGGGACTTCGCGTGAGCACCAGTTCGGGACATTAGGCGTCATTAGTGGTCATCTTGACTTCGCCCGTAACTTAACGCTTTAGCCAATGTGAACGGGACATTAAGTACGGGATGAGTGCCATGCGAGATTTTAGTGGGTGTTTCGCTGAAGCCACCGGTCAGGCGAATGTGTTCCCATTTTGGTGGCTGGATATTGACGCTGATAGGCGGGGCGCAGTGGCACTGCGGTCAAGGTGGAGCGTCTCGTGTATCATGTATCGTGTCCGTGTGTGTTGGGGGGCCCGCGACGCATCTCGGCAGCTTGCCGCCGTGCAGCAGCGTCCGGACGCAGGATGCTCCTCCCCCCTGGGATTCAGCGCACCGTAAGGCCCCACTTGCCTCCAGACTCGGCGCCGAACGTCGCCGGGGCGAAGGAGTGCGCGGCGTCGCAGCCGGAGACGGCCGGCGAGCAGCAGCGAGCCAACCGCGACTGCTACCTCAAGGAGCTGCACAGCCAGCTGAAGAAGCTGCTGGACTCCAGTCCGGCCGACCGGCCCAACGTCGAGATGGGTACGCGCGGCTCGTCTCGCCGCGGGGGCGGGGCGGCACCGCCGCGTCTGCTGGCCGGCACCCCGCACTCACGCTATGTAGGGTCTGTCAGCACATCCTTTGAATCAGTCAGTTTGTATTGGCGTCAGAGCGGCCGGCTTGGTGCGGCCGATGCTCTTCAAGGCTCACGGTATGATTTGATCTGGCACGGCCCCAGGTCATGGGACCGGGCTTTCAGCGTGTAGCTTCATGTACCCGTGTCGGGGGTCTGCGAGCGCCTCGCTATGGCGTGCGGGCGCGGCTCTGGCGGCGGGTGTGTGGATCTGTGCGCGACCGTCCCGTCAGTGGTACGGCCTCCTGTCCGCAGACGAGGCCGAGGACCCCGCCGCCGTGCCGTTCCTCTGGTTCAGCAAGTGGGTGGACTACTCGGACAAGTACGGTCTGGGATACCAGCTCTGCGACGACTCCATCGGCATCATCTTCAACGACTCCACCAAGCTGCTGCTCCTCGCCAATGGAGAGTGAGTGTCGACTCCACAACCTTCGCCGGTTTTAGCTACAGATACGCTTTATTCATTCGTCTTGAAGGTGCGCAGTGCCCATGCTCAGTAAAGTGGTTTTGCTGGTTCATTTCATTCTTTGGACATGTTGTTTATTGTTGGGAGTTTGGTGACGCTTGGCTAAATGATGCACTCAAACACCATCAGTGCTTATCATGCCACCATGTGTTTGCAGTGCGGTAGGCTTGACATGTTGCAGGTGCTTGCTTTTAGACGATTATTTGCGGGGGGCAGTTGCCATTTCCATGGTGTGTGGCCTGTTGTCAAGTCGCGCCATCAGTGGTGCTGCTTGATAAAAGCCATGGTGGGGACTGGCAGCAGATGACTGCATTATTTGTCTAGCCGAGCGACCAGCGCACCAAACGTGCCGTGTCACACCTGTATAGCTCTTTGGATATTTGGTAGGAGACGGTGTCGTAAACGATCTTTTTATGTAGGTGTCGGTTTGTTTTGAGGTGAGGTTGAATTTCACACGGCTTTGAACAAGCTCCATCGGTGAAGATGCAAGAATAATTTTTCAATCGACATTGTCACCGCCACCTCCAGAGACATCCATTACATCGAACGGGACGGCGCCGAGCACTACCACACGATGAACGAGTACCCGAAGGAGATCAACAAGAAGGTGGTGCTGCTGAAGTACTTCCGGAACTACATGAACGAGCACCTGGTGAAGGCGGGTGCCGCCATGAAGCCGCGCGAGGGGGACGAGCTCAGCCGCATCCCCAGCCTGCGCGCCTGGTTCCGCAGCCGCTCGGCGATCGTGCTGCATCTCACCAACGGCACGCTGCAGGTCAGTTCCCCAGCCTCTCGGCGATCGTGCGGCACCTCACCAACGGCACTCTGTAGGTCAGTTGCGTCACGCCACCTTGGCTCCGCCACCGCCCTGATCGCCGCCCGGACGCTGGATCGGGAGGTCCGGGTCCCATTCCCACCGCCGGAGGCTTTCGACGCTCCGGTTTTCGCCGGGAGTGGTGATGCTGATGGCTCATCAGCTGCCTGCAGCGATAGCCAACTAAGGGGGTTGTACGGTCGCCGATGGCATCTCATTACGAATGGTAAACTGCAGGTCCGTGCGGTGACGTCTCACCAACAGTGCAAATGCAGACCCAACAGTACGCTGCGGGCCACCTTGCGGTTGGACGGACCACTTGTGTGGGCGGGTTGAATGTTGTCATATGCCTGACTGCCGACGTCGGGTGCTACATCATCATCATCTGTAATACCGATACCATATCATCTTTAAAGCCTATCATATGATGCTAACGTGATGTAAACATGATGCAAACAAGCGCACACACCGGGTGATACGTCACGTCACATCACTGTTGAGCGCTTAGATCCTCACACTGTGCCTGTGACCCCGCAGATCAACTTCTTCGACGACCACAGCAAGGTGATCCTGTGCCCGATGATGGGCGCCATCACATACATCGACGAGAAGAAGAGCTTCCGCACCTACCGCTTCTCGCTGATCGAGGAGTTCGGCTGCAGCAAGGAACTGGCCAGCCGGCTGCTGTACGCCAAGGCGATGGTGGAGCGTCTGCTGACCTCGCGCTCGGTGAGCGCGGCCAGCGCCTCCGCCAAGAGCAAGGTGGCACCGACGCCGACCGCCGCCGCGCCGCCGTCGGCTCACTAGCCGGCGCGTGCTCGCGGTCAACCTGTGAGGAGTTGGAGCGGCGGCCGTGGCAGAGGCCGCCTCAGACAAGGTGGGGCAGGAGCGCGCCGGCTCCGCGCGTGTTCTCCGGGCGGTGATGGTTCCGTGGATCCGGTCTCGGCGGTGAGCCGTCCGTGTGTGAGAGCCTGTGTCGATAAGACGTGGTCGAGGTGCGAGTGTGCTGCTGCGCGAAACTTCACGACGTCGGGACCGCGCCTGGCGTTGCTGTCCAAGCTTTTCCATGTACGCGCGGCAGGAGACATGTGCCGTGTGTGACCGGCGGTCGCCGCACGGTGGCCGTTTAGTGTAGGTCGTCTTGCCGTTGCGTTAGCCGTGTGATCGTGCCTATGGAGCACATATTCCCAGCCCGGAACAGGGAGTGCGTACGGCACGTTTTGTGCGACTGTCACTTGCATGGCCCCGTATGTTCTGCCCCGTTGGGCCGCGGGGTTTGCTCTTCCCTACTGTACAGAGAGGTTAGGGTGCCACCATGGTCGGCCCGACGAGACTGCCTTTGCCGAGTTTGGCCACCAACCTGCGCTCGTTCATGGTGCCTTTTAACTCAGCAAGTGCGAAAATAAATGTTGGTGGTAGAACTGTTCTCCGTTTTACGGTTCCGTGCCGGCGATGAGGGCGCGAGCACTCAACATTCCTGCGCATCACTACCAGTCCATAGTGTAGTGATTTTATGCGTTTGGTGACGTGAATCTGGACCTATTTCACACGTGCGGTGCTGCCAACCGTAACGCTCGCTGTAAGCCCCGAATTTTCCGGGAGGATCTGATGATTCAGACATATCTTTATGGAAACATCAATCACTGTCATGAGATGTGAACTGTTGGGCCCGTGCCGAATGTTAATCCCAGGATCGATATAAATCTGGATCATAGGATTCACTTCTTGACAATTACGGGATTCCCGAAGAACCCAGTACTGTATCCCCAATAGTGTACATTTGCCAGGGTGGCCTCTAAAAACACTTTCGTTACGAGTGGTTGCGCGTGACCTATTTGTTAGTGCTAACATAGTGTTACTGTTCAGTAGCAACGGCAAGCGCCGGGCACCATCGTCGGCCAATGTGGCAATATTCCGAGGACGAGCTTTGGACCGACCTGCGCCCTCGCAGCTCCAACAGTCTCCAGCCAGTGGCTCCGACACTGCCCGATCAGAACCCCGAGCTCAAAAACAGCTGACAAAATCTGTTCGGAGAGTCTGGTGTGCGAATTAAGGCAGAGAAGAAACCTGCATATAGAGGGCCGGGACCGACGTTTCCATACGTGGAAACCAAAAAGTGATAGACGATGCCCACTTGAGATACTGTTGTCATGGGTTCAATATCGTGTATATATTTCAACACCTCTTTTAGATTGTGTGTGCATCGTTTCGCCTGCTGTTTAAGATTGACCTACCGCCTTATTTAGTGCCTTCTAACTGGTGTTACATGTTTCCTTGCGATCTGTTCCTGTCAGTCCCACCGGAGCCCGCACCTTTGCTGCTGTTATTGTCTCTGCCGCGTCTCCCTCGCGGACGTCAGTCCCGCCCGGACGACGCTGGGCTGCTGTTCAGCCGTGTCTTGGTGGTGGGGGCACGCCGGGGGGCGCGCCGCGCCAATGCTCCAGGTAAATCGGTAGGCAGTTTACATCCGTCCCGGCCGCTGCCCGCATCACCTGTGAGTCTCTTACCGTCGTCCATGTTTTTCGTTTTTCCTTGTTTTAGTTTCGCAATCTTCCTTTGGCAATAATACATCTAAAATAGCTTACAAACAATTCATCCTCGGCGTTTGTACGCAACAAAAGGTCTTCCGAGCCAGATTGTGCAGTTGCCAGTGGACTAGTGAATGCCTGTTTGATCCCATAAACGGTGAACTTAACAGTGTACAGTGGCTAGTTCGGGCGCAGTGATGGGGAAAGCTGGTGAAACGCTTAGTGAAAAAGAACTCGGCAGACGGAGCATCGCCAGCTCATTGCTATTATTATTATTATTATTATTATTATTGTTATTGTTATGAATATTATTATAAGTATTTGTATAAGTATCATTGCGAACCTTGGCGAAATCCAGCGAGTGACTATTCTAACGCCGCGTTAGTACATACTACATAAATAAGCACAACACGCAATACATGCAAATGAGACGCAACGCCAGTGATACGCATGCGATGTTATAAAACATTGGAGGCTTATGATACAATCAACACCTGCACGTCTGCATTGTCCTCCCGAGCGAGCCAGGCGCGTCGGAAGGCCGAACTTTCAAGGCTTAAGATCGAGCAGGCCCAGAGAGTAGAGGCCCGCGCCCGGGAGCAAGCCAAGCGAGAAGTCCAGCGCGCCCGGGAGCCAGCCAAGCGAGACGTCCAGCGCGCCCGGGAGCAAGCCAAGCGATAAGTCCAGCGCGCCTGGGGGCAAGCCAAGCGAGAAGTCTAGCTCGCCCGGGAGCAAGCCGAGCGAGAGGCCTAGTGCGCGCAGGAGTAAGCTTAGCGAGAAGCCCAGCGCGCCCCGGAGCAAGCAGCTGAGCTGGTGCAGCTCGCCGCGGAGGAGCACGATAGGGACGAGCTCGAGATGAGGCTGATAGAAGAGGATGAAGATCTCCAGCATCTTCAAGGAGAAGCCGTCCCCAGGTGACATCCGTGGCGCTCCGCCACACCCTGTTGACGCACCACGGCATCTGCTACTGCATCAGCTCTGCCAGTCGCAGAGATACGGGGGCGCACACGGAGCCGGATCGAGCGGCTCTCAGCCGCTCGGAGGTTTGGTTTCGCGAGCCACCCGCACAGTTCACGAGCTCGACACAGCGCCTGCCGGAGCTCAAGTCCTGAGAACTTCGGCTGCTCGCTGCTGGAGAGGTTTCGGTGTAGCTCGCTGTCCAGAGCCATGGTGCACAAGCGGCGGGATCTAAAAGACGCCAAAAAGCCTGCTCATCTGCAGTCTTGTCTGACTAGAGGTCTGTGAAACGCCCACAGCTCTGCTTTGCCATGGAGAGCTGTGCAGCGAAGCCCTCAGAGAGCTGGAGCGCCAGTCGCCACCCCTCCAGCCAAGAACAACCACGTCAGCTCTCTGCCTGCTCTGTCCACGACTCTACACAACACCGTCAAGGTGTTGAGCTTGCTGGGGTATGACACCATCCTGGCTGCAGGTTGTTGCCAGACTTCCCCACGCCTTGGCCTGGCGCTGCGTCGAACAGGTGGTCAGCAGCCGCCCTGCGCGGCTGACGCTCCCGACCCAGGCCCCGTTCTTTATAAGCGAACGGAAGTTTATTCCTTACTTCGGGGAAAGCCCATTCCTTGCCTATGAGGGCACGACCCAAGCCCATTCCCTACTCGGCCGAGAGGCGAAGTAAGTGGGTTTGTTTACTAGTCGTTGGTGTTGCGCTAGCAACGCATAGCTACGGTCGATGTGCTGTAGACGGTCTGTTATGTCCGGTAAATAGGCAGGTCTCGATCTCATGTGAAGAGGTAATCGTATATTTTGGCGATAATGATTCATCGTTTATGATATATTTACCTACAGTTCACTTGTCATAGGAATAATTTATTGTCATATAAATAAACTGTCATATAAATTTAAAAAATGCAATATAAAAATAGGAATAACACATTGTCGTAGGAATAATATGCAACTGCGCCAGTCTTGCGTACCTTGTCTCCATGGGGTCGGACCAGCTGATTCTACTTGCGCCCATATTTGGAACAAAGACGTCCCCCATTGGCGTTTAGTTATGACATCAACTCGGTGGGCGGAGCTCGGGTCGTAATTCAACGAGGAACTGGACTCTTGGGCCGAACGACAGCCACAATGGCAAAGACCAGCCATGGCCACAGTAACGCGATCAACGCACGTTTGCGGTGACGGCCACAGCTAAGACTGAGTTGCATGGTCAGCCAGTGCGGAGTGTGTGAAGTACGGCCAACCCCGCACAGCGTGCGATTGCGATCGCCCGTCGTTTGCGGGGGCTAGCGACAGCAAGCGCGCCCAAGTGGTGAGCCACTATAAGCTGTGTTGGGTCTGTCCGACCGACGGACACGTGACGCGCCGCTGTCCGCTTAAAAGGCCGTGCAAGGCGATAGCGAAATGCCGAGAGTGGCACCATCCCTTGCTCCATGGAGCCAAGCGGCTGGAGCGGCCACCTCGGACGGCCAGCGGGCCAGACCTAGACGAGCACAGCTCTACACACATCGGCACCTGTGTGCAGCCACCAGCTCTAGCGTCCTGCTGCATATAGTGCCGCTGGCCCAAAAGGACAGTGTATCATTTAAGTCATGCTGGACCTCGACAGCCAGGCATCCTTGGCGGCCGAAGAGCTGGCGTCGGTCCTGGGCTGCAGGGCCCCACCGAGCCGCTCCGTCTGGGCACCATGACCGGCAGCTCAGCGTGCGCCTCCATGTGCGTTGAGTTGCATGTGTAACCGCTGAACCGGAATGAAAACTCTTCGGTCATCGACGCCCGCACAACGTCAGTCGTCAACGTGACCGGGCCAGAGGCAAAGAACGGAGACGGAGAACGGAGAAGCGGAAGTGAACTTACCAGTGCAGACCAGACCTTACGGGCAGGGAAACATGCAGACAGATGCACAGTTTGGTAAAGAATGCATTATATGGCACACTCGTTGGAGCACGGGGCCAGTACAGAAATGTTGCGCGCCTTCATATGATAGTTGACTTCATTGTGCATTCTAAGTTTGGTTTTAACAAAGTTCAGTTATTTCTAACACAAAAAAAAACAGGAAAAAAACCAGAACATGGAAATTTAGGAGCTGAAACGGGAGTGCAATATGTTGACATCACGGTAACGTTGGCGAAACACGCAGATTTTGCTTTCATATTGCCTAGAGTTCGACCGACGCATATATCACCCTAGTGATTGGCTACTCAAATAGGCTCTGGAAAGACTGGGGTTGGGAAGCGCGAAGCAGGTGGAACAAGGAGAAGGAGCTTACGCACCGGCAGGGTCGCCAGTCCCTGAAGTGTGCACCTTGCGCCGCCCGCTCGTTACTGAAGGTGGACCGGAGGAGGCGTTCTTCGCTACACCGGCCGAAGCCAGTCCCACCTCCCCCTACGAGCGGTCCGATTTGCTCGGTTGCCTTTTGAAGTGAAGGACACAGAACAGTTTCGGTGTGATCCGCCCCCAAGTTGCTGGGGCTTGGACCCCATCGTCTCTACGGCTGGTGTCAGCGGCCAAGCGTCCTGCCCCTATTGCCTTGATGTACGCTGTGCAGCCCTGCCCTTTTGAGCCCCTCATCCCTCCCTCGTCGTCAGGCCACTCTCACGCCGGCAATGCTTATCACACCCGAAGCGCTATCGTCCCGCCCCATTCTCCCAGCCACGCGGACAAGGCGGAGAACGCGGCCTGTGCGGTGGTGGTGGCGGTGGCGCCATGACAGGTCGGAGGGACTGAGATCTGTGCACCTGTCACTCCATGATGTCGTCCATCCATGCTGTTGTGCAGCTGGCCGTAAGCTGGGACATCAATCCAGCTCCTAAATTTTCGTGTTGTGAATGATTCCGCAAACGTTGAAGGTGTAGTGCAAATTAACGCGTCTTTTAACGGATGTAATCAGTGCGTCCATGTGGGAGAAGCAACAACATATTTCTGTGGGAACTG